CTGCAAGTACGCAACGTGCAAGGCGTTGTCGGTGGACGGACAGCAGTAGTAGATGAGGGTCCGAGTGTGAGCTCCGGCATGGCGGTCAATGGAGGAGATGGTCTATCGATGGAGTACAGATCTGCGTCTCATGCCTGGCATGGTGATGGGATAATGCGAGCCCCTGCTTGAAACCCGGGTTGACGTGTTTACCGCCCGATCGGTCCTCTGTTCTTGGTTTGGGTTTGGCGCCGAGCCAATACCGATGGCGTGGCCACCCAAGGCATTCCATGGCGGTCATTCGGCAGAGATGGATCACTGACTGCCTGGGGTCTAGTTTGGTTCATCGAGTCACTCTAGGTCCCTGTTTTCAGTGCTCCACATACCTGCCCGCCTAGATACCTGGGGCACCACCCCTGTCGACGGCAGCCCGGCGAAGGCACTGTAGGCACTTTAAGGTAGGTGGGTGCCCTGGACATGTACCTACCTTGCCTGTAGGGGCAGCCAGCTAGCTAGCTGCCTGGTACGACAGCGCTAGCGCCGAACCTCCACCAGCGAATGGCTTGCTGACGTCGGTCAATGACCGTTAAAACAGCTGACGTCCTCCGAGCAACCATCGTCCAACAACCAACACACCAGCATCTGTACCACCATCTCAACCCAGCATCGTGTATCACCAGTCCTCGTCCAGCGAATTCTTCATCCATCACTACGTCAATCGGGCCCCCTGGGTCAACTCGAATGCTCGATCTTCGTTACGACCAACATCTCCCTTCGTCGATACCCTAGAACGTGGGCAAGCAACCCCAACACACCCTGACACACGCCCACGAAGGGACGTTCCGGCAATACAAATCACAAGCATGGCGCCTCCCGCCGAAATCTCCATCCCCTCGACGATTCTTTCCACCGGCGAGTCGAAACCTTTCACCCTCTACAACATCACCCTGCGCCTGCCACTGCGCTCCTTCGTCGTCCAGAAGCGCTATTCCGACTTTGCCAGCCTCCACAGCAGCCTGACGACGCACGTGGGCTCGCCACCGCCGGCACCTCTACCCCAGAAGTCGTGGTTCAAATCGACAGTCTCGTCGCCCGAGCTCACCGAGAACCGCCGTCGCGGCCTGGAGCACTACCTCCGCACCATTGCCGAATCGCCCGACCGCCGATGGCGCGACACGCCCGCCTGGCGTGCCTTTCTCAACCTCCCGTCGGGCGGCTCGGCCCGCCGGCTCGGCCATCTCGTCAGGCGGTCTGTCTAGGCCGGCAGCAGGCTGGCGCCGGCGACCCGGGCACCTGGCTCGACATGCACCGCGAGATGAAGGCGTGCCTGC